CCACATCCCCGATCCTGACTCCGATTGGAGATTCCTATTAATCCCCCTCCCCATCCCCGCCCCACCAAAACAATCACCATCCCTGACCCGATGGGGTTAGGGAAGTCGGGTCCCCGTCAGGGATGGGGAAAATTGCCATCCCTAATGTATACCACGACTATATTACAATGTCGAGGGTATAGATCTATAGCATATTCTAATGCTCGATCATCATCTGCATCTATGGATATCGAAGAATGTTGGTCAAGAAGATATCAACACTTGATTTTTATCATTAACCCCTCCACTAGTTTTCATATTGAATGTAATTTTTGAATAAATTCAACAAAATTGACACCCTTAACAACTTGATCCACCTTGGTATGCCCTGATATATATTCAGAATTATTGGCACTATCCTTTAACTGTCCATCATAGTAACATATCAAAGGCACATATGGCGTGTTATCTTGAGCATGTTGTCCTCGTTCTCCCATATTGCTCTACATAAGTAAAAAAACATAAAATTATTTAAAATTATTCAACATGGGCAATAAGTGTTTGTGAATCAAACACTTTACTATAAAAATGTAATGCTCCAAATTTATTCATAGATGAAGAAATGTGGAAAAAAAATTGTTCTCTTTATTTGTGCTAATGTTCTCACTAAAATTCTTCATCTTAGCAACAACCTTATATATTACATTTTAGAGAACACAATGGATAGAAAACATTACATGAAATTGAGGATACCTACCACCTGTTTCTCTTCTCTATAAAGAAAAGAGGATGCTCGAGGCTTTCCTTATCTATAGTTGTTGATTTGGAGCTCTGTTTTGAAACAAACCAAGCACTAAGGAACTTCAACCGTCAAAATCCTCTGTCATTAACTCAAGACAAAACATATGGAAACTAACGATTGAACATGTATACATTTTCTGATATTGCTTTGAAGATGGAATCTATGCTTCCTAGTTGTAGATTCTGAAATTGCTTTGAAGATGAAATCGATGCTTCCTAGTTGTAGATTCTGATATTGCTTTGAAGATGGAGTTGATGCTTCCTAACCAACTGTAATTTAAATCGATGGAGTCGATGCTTCCCAACCTGCCGTAATTTGAATTGATGCTTAATCAGTTATCTGTGTGAGATGGAGAATGAGAGCCCTCAAATCACTCGAACTTGGAAAAGAACGAATGAAACAAGATTCAGTGGATTATGTTTTTAACAAAAGGGTAATTTTATGATAAAATGTTTATGTTTTCTCCCGCTCACTGAATTCGATATTATTTATGAAACATAACTGAAATTGTCAATTGACCAAACTTGGTCAATTTTTTTTGCAAAGAAACCCTTTTAGTAAATTAATATCTTTTATAAATCTAAAGAACAGAAACTAAATGGATAAAAATAAAATGGTCTTTGTTGCAAATGAAGGTTCAGGGGGCTAAGTTTCATTACCCCAAACCATTGGGTGGTAATCTGTAATCTACCCAAATAAAAACCAAAAGATTTATAGCATTGAAAATGGTACTTTAGAAAATGATCTATTAAGGGTAAAATTGTAATACAAAAACTACAAAGTTCAATTATTGATTGTGCTAACAAGTAAGCTTATGCATGCATTTAATATTTTCTTTATAGAGGACAAAGACTTCCATAAATCATAATTAAATAAAAATTTTAAAATGCCTATAATTTTGACTGTTCAGTCCAACTTTTGGAAATGGTAGAATGAATCTGACCGTGGATTGATGTCAAAATTAACAGGCAGTGCATTATAAGGGGCGGCTATTAATAGACTAGAGATGGCTGTAATTTCAGATTTCTGAGGGTAGTAACAGTCTACTTATCCCTTTTCATATTTATTTGTATTCCGTTTTTTTGCAGGCAACTCAAGCGTACTTTCTCATAAGCTACCATTAGAAAGTAGAAAGTAGAGACTCCATTCCGGTCCGCGTGACTTACTTGCCTTGCCATAAGCCATCTTCTCCATCACCAGGTCATATACTGACTGCATTCCCTTTGCGCTCTCCGCCTCTCTGTCTTAGTCATGGCGGCTCTGAACGGAGCAACAGGTGATCTCAAATCGACCTTTCGCCTGGTATACTCCAAATTGAAATCTCAGCTACTCCAAGATCCCGCTTTCGAGTTCACGGATGATTCTCGTCAATGGGTAGAGCGGGTAACAAAACTCCTCTCCTCTTCTTGTTCTTATTTCTTACCACTCAAGATCTATAGTCCTTAATGTTTTCTTCCCGTTAATATTGTAATTGTTGGTATCTGAATGCTTATTCTCACGCAATTGGATGTGAACGTTTGTTGCTTTATTTGTCGAGTAATCCGAGTAGTTCGTAGGATTCTTTTTCCTGTATCTATGTTATCTTGTCATCTATGCACCAGTTTTTCTTTCTTTCTTTCTTCTTGTTTTCTGAAAAAGGCTTGGAAATGATATCTTTTACTTGCTCTGTTGCTTAAGTCATCGTTCAGAGCTATGATAAATAAACGGTAATCTGTTTGATTAAGCGCGGTATTCTTGGATAAATAGATACGGGACTCCAAGAAGGGGAAGAAAGAATTGTTCTTTTATGAAGTGGATTTGAAAATCATCTCTAATAATGGATTGTGTGTAGCTCAGGAGAGAGCAGAAAAGGGAATGAATAAATGATCCAATTCCAACTTGATAGATTTAGTGCTATGGTTTACAAGGGTATTAGGGCGTGCTTTGTTAGGAAGTGGAAATGGAGATCCGACTTTACTGCATGCATAAACAATTATTGTTACATGATAGAATGCATATTTTCTTAGCTCGGATCATGTTTTGCTTCAAGACTCTACAGAAAAGACTACCTCCTTCATGCCTATGTTCTTGCTAGCTGCTACCATGCTAACAGCCTAACACTACCTTTTCTTTCACAACCTGTTCTCTCTGATTGTTACCACAACAGGAAGGATTTTACTTTACAAATCTCTTTTTATAAGATGTATTGTCATGCAGTTTAAGAAATTTGATGATGACTGTTCTAGTCCATTTCCATGAGGTGGTGTTACTCTTCTCTAACAGCTTGTTAAGAGATTTAATAACTGTGCTAATTTCCAAACATATGCTGCTGATGGTGCTAACACTAGACTTTCTCAACCAAGATATACCATTGCAGCACTACCTTTGTTTTGATTGCACACAGATAACAGATTGCGATTGTCAAAGTGGAACCATTAATTCTGCATGCATACATATTCCCCCTCCCTAAAATTTCTCAAACAAATCAACAGAACAGCAAAAGTTTTGTTCATATTAGCTTACATTACCATTCATTATCATTCTGATCCTCCAAGAGGGTTTATGGTATATATTGTTCTTTCATCTTGCTAATTCATTTGAAGAAAAGCTTTGGGTTTTTATTTCTTGTCTTGCCAATGGTAAAATGGCCTAACTGGTTTTAAGTTCAAGGTACTAGGTTGTAATTATTAGCTCTTTTTGTCATATTGTTTTCTTGAAAACTTTCTATCTATTTTCTATTCATTGTAAACTTAACTTGTTCACATTCTGACCATGTTTGTTTGCACCTTCTGCTGCAGATGTTGGATTATAATGTGCCTGGAGGTGGGAAATTAATTGCTTATACTTGTATCATTTTTTATTTGAGAAAAAAAGGATAAGTTAGTATTCATTACATGATTAGTTATGCATTTGTTTCTGCAAGGAACTGACTAAAATAGGAAGGCATCATCTAAAGAAACATGGTCCAGTCTCACCTTTATAGGTATTGGCAGGAAAGTTGAATCGAGGTCTCTCTGTGATCGATAGCTACAAGCTGCTGAAAGAAGGAAAGGAACTTACAGAAGATGAAATCTTTCTAGCATGCACACTTGGTTGGTGTATTGAATGGGTATAGTATTGGACACAATCCTTGGGCTTTTGACCGTTTGAACTTTTGTTACTAGAACATTCTTATACCCAAAATTTTCCCACCATTTATCTGTTATAGTGCATAGGAATCTTACTCATTGACAAAATACTATGCAGCTTCAGGCTTATTTTCTTGTTCTTGATGATATTATGGACAACTCTCACACACGTCGTGGTCAACCTTGTTGGTTCAGGGTACCCAAGGTATGTGGCCATAGTGAGTATAGCCATGGTGCTTCCGTTGCTTTCTTTTGTGGTGTTACATGCATTTCTATTATCATCCTTTGATTTTTGATTTGGCAGGGAGCATTACTGACTTGTATAAGTTCTTTGTTATAGGTTGGCCTTATTGCTGCAAATGATGGGATACTCCTTCGCAACCATATTCCTAGGATTCTTAGGAGACACTTCAGAGAGAAGCCTTACTATGTGGATCTGTTGGATTTATTTAATGAGGTTATTGTCTTCGTGCAAGGAAAATTCACTTTGTTTCATTTTTAGCCAAATACTGAAAGTTATCCAATTTCTCTCATTGTTTATCAGGTAGAGTTCCAGACAGCTTCAGGGCAGATGATAGATTTGATTACTACACTTGAAGGAGAAAAAGATTTGTCCAAGTACACGATGCCACTGTAAGTGAGAAAACATACATTTACTCCAATCAGTAAGTACTATATAGTGATAGTGTTCTGTAACAAGCATTATACACTTGTATCCATATCTCACCATATGCACCATTTCTCACTATTTAGCTGGTGGGCCTCGTTTATGGTGTGAAATGCAGGACATTAAAGTATTCAATAAAAAAGAAAGGCAGGATATTAAATAGTTTCCAATGGCAGTAAATGACACCATGCAGTTCCCTTAAATAAAACAATGTATGCAATTGACAAGTGTTTGTTAGAGGATTACACTATGGTTTCTGTTATTCATATCCTTGTGCTATTAGCATCATAATTTTTCTACAAACTCTTCTAACCCTACCAGTCAATGCATGGGTCATATGTATTCTATTATATGGAGTTCAGAAAACTGAAGCTTTGTGTTGTTGATGGATGCATTACAGTTTTTCCAGTGAGAGCATATCCAAGTAACATGATGCATTGACCCATTGTGCTTCTGTTCTGAAAGGAATAACATACTAGTGATGCTAAATGGCATAAGTGACATCTTAGCTCCTGAAAGTATCTTGTTTGTTATCAGCATAAAATGTCTTTTTGACTTCAGGGGTTTTCATTTTAAGCATTTTGTTGATCACTGGAATGCTATTTTGTGGGTAGATTTCTTGGTCTAATGTCTAGCCTGTTGGCTAATTTCTTGTTTTCAGCTGTTGAGGAAATCTCTCCCTCAGCAGCTTTATCCTATCTTTATTAATAATATTCACCATTTCTCAAAAAGAAAAGTCTTTTTGTCTTAATATGAATTTCCAGTCTGGATTAAATTATGTAGTTTTTCCTTGCTTTTGTGCTACCTCAATATTTTCCTCTTCTCTCTTAATATGAATTTCCAGTCTGGATTAAGTTATGATTTTAATTAAATCAAATTTCTGATGGTCTTTGCTGATATGAGTTATGATATGGTTTTGATGGATGCAGTCATCATCGCATTGTTCAGTACAAAACTGCCTATTACTCATTTTACCTTCCGGTGAGTATAAAAAAGGAGAGGAAAAAAGAAATCATTATTCTAATGCAACAATATGCTGACTTTAATTGATTTGTATATTTTAATATCTATGATGATATTTGCTTAAAGAACTATTTTCTAGAGGGTAGTCTAGTACTAATCTTTCTTTTCCTATTTTTATTTTCTCTTCTTCTTCCACATAGAATTCATGATACCTGGGAATAATTGGACATGAAAAACTTTACTTTTAGAAGCTTGTTTGATGCTCACTGGTTTGGCTTAATTTTTGTTCTTTATTTTCTTAACATTTAAATGGTGCACATCTTTTTTTTTTCCTCTTTCAATGAAGCGATAATATAACATATTCAGTTGCTTTTTCCTTTTGCTAGCATCATCCAACAAGTATTGCTGACTTACAGGAAGATGGGTTCCATTTGCAGCTGCCTGCTATGCTTGACTTCCTTTTTCTCAATAATCTGGCTGTGGCTTTGAAATATGTATTATTTGAATTTTGAAGCACTCTTGATATTCATATAACTAATTGCACATTTCTTTTTTTTTTATAAATTTTTTAATTTCATATTTCTTAGTATCTGTTTTATACTACCTTTAGAATCTTATTCTTTAGAAAAAAAGAAGCAGCTTTTATGTTTACACAATTTGCTGTCCTTCACTTATTTCCTGAATGGTTTGCCAAACAATTTGGAAACAATGTACTCTGGTCTGGTATTGGTAAGGAGGTAATGGTCCTCCAATACATGTATGGAAGGATGGATTGAGATCTCACACTAGAAGTTGTTATAATCAGTGTGACTTGACCATCCAACTTGTAGATACATGTCAAATTTTCTTTACCCATCGAAAATAAAGAAAAATAAAATCTTAGATTTTAGATATGAGCAGTACTCAGAGTAAGATGTTTTCCTTTATTCCCTATGCTTCTTAGAACTTTATTGGTATTAATACTCACTTTGATGAATCCAACTTGTCAGAATTATTGCTATTCTTTTCAGTATAATGTGTAATTTGACCATTCTATTTATATTTATTTTGAATCAATAGGTTGCATGTGCATTGCTTATGTCTGGTGAGAAACTGGATGACCATATTCATGTAAAGGACATTCTTATAGAAATGGGAACCTACTTTCAAGTACAGGTGATTGACCTCTGCACATTAACATTTCTGATATCCTAAGTTCTATTATCTGTCTATTTGGTTCTTTTGTTGTGAATTTAATGTTTTGTTATTCTTTATCTTTCATAGGATGATTATCTGGATTGTTTTGGTGATCCCAAGGTTATTGGCAAGGTAAGGTTTAGCCTTGATCTCTCATTGCTATTTGATTATGATGTTTCTATAAATATGAAGTTTCTAACCTGTCAAGGAGATCTTATTTTGTGCTTTTCTGAGGCTATCAGATAGGAACAGATATTGAAGATTTTAAGTGCTCATGGCTGGTAGTGAAAGCACTTGAGCTCGCCAATGAAGAACAAAAGAAATTATTATATGTAAGATGGCATTTCTTCTCCACCACTGTGGTGCTACTTGTTTCCCCAGTGATTTTCTTATTAATAATAATTTTATTTTTAGGAGTATTATGGTAAACCAGATCCAGACTCTGTCGCAAAAGTAAAAGAACTTTATCAAGCTCTTGATCTTCAGGTTTGATCTCTCTCTCTCTCTCTCTCTCTCTCTCTCTCTCCCATTGTAATTGGGACTGAAGAGTTCTTTATAGATTTGGCTTGCACTCCACATCTTACTCCCAAGGACTCTTTATTTTTGCTTTGTATACAATATGTCAATATGTATTGTTTATATTAGTATAAATTGTAAAATTTTGAGTACCTGCAATTGTTTTTATTGATCGATAGCAGAAATTTTTATTAATGAATAATACTTGTGAAAATTTATTACAGAAAATGGGGAGGTAAACTATCTTAACTCCCCAACATCAAAATGGCAACAAAATACTAAAAATGTKCCCAAAACAAAGAATCCTTAGCCACCCCTTGCTTAGCTAACCCATCAGCCATTGAGTTAGCACTTCTCTTCACCCAGCTGTATTGCACCTCTAAGTCCTTACA